CCAAGGCATAGAAGTGACCTACCATTTGTCCCAAAGCGATTCAGTGGCAGAGTTGGGAAAAGAACCTAAGTCTTCCTATTCCCAGTTGGCTTCCATAATCTCTCACTCCCTGTTTGACTCAAAGAATATTTGAGAGGGAGGGAATATGAATCTTACATTTACAGTGCTGCCTTTGCATATATTTTTGAGATGTGGGAAACAAATGGGCTAGCTGCCCATAATCTACCTGCTGAAGAATCAGCCTCTCCTTCACTTGGATGTTACAAATGACCCAGAGGTGTTCTGGTATCCTGGGGTGGTTTAGCTGAAGCAAATACAGTACCTATGATAGAAGGAATAAGCATTGGTTTGATATCACTCAAGTATGGCAGTGTTCAAGAGAAGTGCTTAGACTTTCAGAGGTGGAATGGGAAGATGCTGACTTTAGTCATAAACCTCTCTACTGTTCTGTGACCTTTATAACTTAAGAGGCATTACTCTACCAGCTGGTGATTAATATTGAATCTGAACAATATTTGGTATTTTCAGCAGGGCAAATGCCAAAGAAAGTTTCTGATTAATAGTCTCCGATTAGACTGTTCTTGTCAAATTGACTAATGTAATGCATTGGTGAGCCCTGGCTTATTAAAGTGGAAGTCTTGTGCAGTTTTCTAGAAGATGCTCATTACAGGAGATTCCCACATAATGTTGGACAGGCCATAAAGAGAATTGGGCTTGTCAGTCTTTTATCATGACACTTATTTAAAAATTAATGTATCATTTTTGAAATGCAGAGACCTGCTTGTTCGTATATTTGCTGACAACACTACAGTAATGATAGGTAAATGTGCAAGGTAGAGTTTATAGAATCAGCTCAGGCATGGGCTGCCCCACAAACCTATTTAATATAATGGAACAGCCTAATGCACAAAAATCAAATAAGGAATATGACGCATTCATCCGTATTATAAACACTGTCATTCTGCCTTGATCGAAGGTCGCTTTCAGGCATTATTCGAAACGACAATTTTAAATTGAACAAAGCCTTCTAAACAGACCCATGCTAACATGGAAGGCAAGGCCATAACTTTCAAGCCCACACACTGTTATTTACTGTGAGCTTGTTATGCAGTGACCCAGAACAACCGATTTCAAGAACACTTAAGGCTGGAGGCCACCAGTGGCACCAAAGCATTCTGACACACTGAGACTTATGGGAATAAGAGTATAAATGTTCTCCATGTTTATTCCTTCCATTGCATGTTCTGGAATTTACTCAGTTAATTACAGACAGTAACGGGGTAGCATTCTCTCGGGCTCCTTCCAGTATTGTAACTTTCTCGGCAGATCTGAGAAGAGGAGAAGCATAGAGAAGGCAGAGGTGGGGAAATGTCTTGTACATCAGTGTTCAGTGGAGAATTATGAAAACTCTTCACAACGATCTTCAGAGAGGGAATAACTTTGAGCTTCTGCTGCAGTTGCATGTTTTTAAACAGGAGAAATGTGTAAATGATGTGCGCCCAATGCATTTTTTTTTTTTTTAACAGAAAAAGTGTACAGGAATTATGTAAAGTGCTCAACTGGCCCACTGTGTTCATTTTACATGCAAATGGGACAAGATCCATAGGAGGTCTGAGCTCTGTCGGCTTTCACAGTATTCGGTTGTCTCCCATTATGTCACTCCATGCAGTTCATTAAAAGGTTTAGTAACTAATGAGAGGACTCCAGTCTATCCCATGTGCAGCAGCCTTTTACAGGAAGCTAAATCAGGCCAAAGCTGGGTCAAGGTCTATGTTGGAATATTCCTAGACTGGATATTAGTACTGGGTTAATAAGTGATGCTGTAATAGGGAGAGACTTGCAGACAGGCATGGAGATGTAATAATTTCTGAAAGTCACGTTCCCTCTCACACAATATGTACCTATGTTAAATTTGTGCAAATTAAGTTTCCAACTAGAGATGCATACCTCACTCAGATTCATGTAATTTCTTAGCTTGCATTTATAGTTCATTCAAATAAGATTATGAGATATGGGTAACTGGCCACTGCCAGAGGCAGAATACTAGACTGGAGGACCAAATGAGTGATCCAGTCAGGTACAGCAATCCTCCTTCCTCTCAGAACTGTAATGAATTAATCCAATAATCTCATACATTTCACATTCATGCAGTAGGTTTTATTTCATTTTATTATTTTTATGTGAATCACACAGATCTGACAGCTCCTGCTTTGACAATATGCTTAGTATATTAAAGTACTCCTTGTGACTAGCCCAGTATTAAAATGGCTAGGGTTTGGCACTGGTAGACTTCGAGACTCACCACGCATTATGGGGAAGACTTGGGTTCAAGGCTACCCACGTGAATCTTGAAAGCAGCTGGGAGTGCTCTTTGGAGTTAGGTGCATACTGCATCATTCACAAACACTTTCCTAATGGATGAACATCTCAAGGATGATCAAAACCTTGGGGTTGCAGGGGTCCATGCTGCAGCCATAGCTCCCAGAGGAGGGTGGGAATCAATGTGTATGAGAGATAGGAAGGTAAAATGGAGGTATGGGGTGGAAAGGTAATGACCGTAGCTATGTACACGTAGAGATATCTCTGTTATGAGCAGGGATCCACCCTGGAGCCTTCAGCACCAAAGACTCAGACCTCTCCCATTTGTGCCCTAGGAGTTCACCATGGATGACCATGGCATCTGTACGCCTATGTAGCCATGCTTCTGCTAGAGAAGGGTTAGTGAAAGACTATGACACACATTTGGATTGCCCCATGTTCCTTCACACAGGACGAGGGGTGAATAATGAGAACCCCTTTTGCCCATATGACAGGAAATCGCCCATTCATGTTGTAGGACTTTCAAGTTTTACAAAATCAGATTATTTGGAAACTGATTACTTGGCTGATGGAGCGAGTCTGTATTTATAGGGCCAAATTGAAGGCAGTGAAATTAATCAGGTATGAATTTGGCCTAAATTGCCCAAGGGAAGGTTTTTACAAACTCAAAATGTCAGTAGATATGATCACCTAACTAGAAAGATGTTCCTTCCTGGGAACCAGGTGAGTTTTGAAAGTAATAGAAGATGTGAGCTAGAGGTTATGGGCTTGTGAAATGTATTGGCTATTTCAATAACCGAAAATATGCAAGAGATTGTAATTGGTCCGGAGCTGGAATAACTAGTTCTCACATGTCCCAGCTTGTTTCAGTAATGCCTCAAGGTTGAGGAGGAAGACACTTCACACTAAAATCTGTGTAATAAGAATCCAGGAGTGTCACTCTGCAGCCTAGAATGTCTGATGAGTCAGTGTGAACTGATGGAATCAGCTACAAGCATGGCTGAGAACTATTTTTGTTTAGAATATTACCAGGTTCAATCCTCACTGAGATTTGCGGTGTGTTACCATCCAGTTTTTAAAGTTCTCAGCCATTTTGACTTTATGAATTACAGTACACCCCTGCGACAGCACAGGCTTTTAGCTATAGTAACGTATCTATCTATGTCAAGAGTCCTAGACTATTGTCAGGTTTCAGAGTAGCAGCCGTGTTAGTCTGTATCCGCAAAAAGAACAGGAGTACTTGTGGCACCTTAGAGACTAACAAATGCTCTAATAAATTTGTTAGTCTCTAAGGTGCCACAAGTACTCCTGTTCTTTTTTCTAGACTATTGTGATATCAGAGGTAACTCAATCAGCCATCACCCACTACAGCTAGTTTGCATGCAACAGTTTCATTGGTTGTATGAGGGAGAATGCTGAGATTACTTAGCCCAAGTGTGTGACAGCATGGGCTTTGAGCTACTAGTACTTGTTATAATTCGCTTCCACCCCTTTCATTTCCAACATTCACACTCACTTGTAGACCTTGTTTCTGTTTAATTTTGCATGGTCTAGCACCTGAAAGGCCCATTGACTTACACCTGCTCAAAAGCCTACAATTTATTTGCAGCCAGAGTTTTGAATGAAGAAATTGTGGATTTAACATGAGGCCATTTAACATTTGCCACTTTAAGGTCATTAGTAGAAGGTTAGATAGGAATGCCAAGATCAGAAAAAGAACAATTAACAGAGGGGTTGACAAGCAGAGAAAGAAAAAAAGATAGTAACTGAACCCTGGATGTTTTTTATAAATGGAGTGTCCGAGGATTATTGGATGTAATTGAGGATACCAGGGTATCTTGTATTTTCAGTCCCACTAAGTTGATTTGGGATAAAAATGAGTTTCACTGGTACAAGGGATTTAGTAGTAATTATTTCAAACTCCTGTCCAAAGATGCCCGGGCAAATTTAGCTTTAGAAAATACAAACTTTGGAAACAGAGTTGAAAGCTCATAGCTCCTAATGTGATGGAGAACTGCAAAAGAGTGTTTAATTCTGGAATTTCATAGATCATCCTGGCTCTTTCAGAAAAGTTTTTGAATGCCTACTTTATTACTGCTGTTTCTCCACTGCAGCAAATGGTCTCTTGAGATCTCAAAGAGCTCGTTAGAGGAAAGGTATCTTATCATATTTGGAGCTGGTCTGTCAGACAGCTGGTTGAGTGTGTCAAGTGAACATATTCAATTGATATCCTGTCACAGGATTCCTGTTTTAGTAGTGAATGTTCATGACATCTAACTTGCGGCTTCATGTGCCGTTGAATGAACCAAGTGGAGAGTGATCATTTACCATTGTTCTGTATAAGCAATACATTCCAAAAGTGCCCAAAAGGGTAGAAAAGAAGATTGTTTTCCTCAAAATTCAAAAAACATAAAATTATCACAGTAATGCCTGTCCTTTATCTGATTTTTTGACCTTATTATGGTTCTAAAAAAGAATATTTCTTCCATAGTCTTTTGAAACCATTGCTTACATCATAATTGTACAAACTATCTCCAATGTGTGGTTTGCCAGCTTTGCTAGAGCCATTGCTCTTCACAAAGATAAATATCTGTACTTCATATAGATCAAACTCTGTTGCTCTTTAGAAAGATAATTCCTGTTTTTTTTTTTTTTTTTTTTTTTTGCTTGCTTTGTTACAGTGGGAACTCCATACTATATGTCCCCAGAAAGAATACATGAAAATGGCTATAACTTTAAATCTGATATCTGGTCTTTGGGCTGTTTATTGTATGAGGTAAGCATCTCTAACTTTTTCATCTTTGCATAAACAAGCACATAATAAAAGAAAACAGGAATGAATTGAAGTAAACAGTTTAACTCAATCCTGTTTACATCTGATTCCTGTGAAACCCTATAAAATCTTAGTTATCTTGAGTTCTTTTTGAGTATTTAAAAAAAAAAGATATTAAACAGATTTTATTCAAAGCTGGTTTAGTGCATCACAGTAAATGTTGGAGATACAGATAGAAGCAAGCCAATTTGTCTCATTCTTTACTCCTATAAGCTGGGCAATTAGTGGAAGAGCGGATTTAGAACTCTTTCCTAAGTACTAGGTTTGTTTTGAAGCCTGAACGTGTCATTTGAATGTTATTTAGTGTAAAGAGCAATGAGCTCTGAAGGGTTGAAACACTTTGACCTTCCAGAGCTCTTGATGAAGAAAAGTACTGTGATTTTTTTGAATGAATTTACTGTTCCCACTGAGAGGATTTAGTTAGATTTTTTTTTAAAGTGTTTAAAGCCATGCAAAACCATGTAAGAATATAGTTTTTCAAAGCAGAGATCCTTAGTGTGAACTACATGCAGTTTTACATACTTAGGGTGTACTACATACTAGATATATTAAGCGTGAGAAGAAAGTCACTCTTGATACTATGATTTTGTAAGAACACTATGCCATTAGATTTTTCAAGTGTTCAGAAAAATGATCAATTAATGGTATTTGAGATACATACATTTTTTTTATTCATTTAAACAAATAGTAAGGTTACATTATAAATGTATGGAACAGCTTTGGGTTCAAGTGAGGGTAGCCAAAATTTAGGAAGTGTGTGGTACAACTTTTCCCCCCCAAAAATTTCAGTTAAGAGCCCACTATAATGTTAAACTTTAATTGAGTATAACCCAGGGCCACTTCAAAGCTTTGGATGCTTAAGTATTTTGGTTATTTTTTCCTGGTTAATTAAAGGATTGTCAAAATGAAATGATGTTTGTCATTGCAACTTTTCACAATCGTGAAAAAAATCAAAATACAAATACCTGGCATAAACTGATCAGACACTACAACAACTCTAGCTAGGGTTCTGCATACACGAGACAAACCCTTTACAGCTCTTTTTTCTTAAAGATAATTTTATCTTAAAAGCAAACCAGGCAGGCCTCTTCCCCTCAAGAGTTAAGTGTTTGTTACTGTTTGTTTACTGCTGGGAAGAATATACTCATCTAGCATAGCTAAATGCTTGTTTAACAAGGTAATGTCCTGTCATTAGTATATTACCAAGCCTGAGTCATACAGTTCAATAGGTGCTGGTTTATTTGTTGGCAGAATGTGAAAGTGCTGTGTGGTGTGCATCTAGAGAGAGAAATATCGGTGCTGGGAAGCCAATGAAGTAAATCAATAAAATCCTGCTAGAGGGATTAAGCATCCATTGGGAGTAGCGTAGCGCTGCTTGAGTCTAACAGCTCTGTGCTTCTTACATGTGAGAACTCCAACATCGTCTGCTTAGATGCAATTATGGCTTTGGTATTTGTTCCTAAAACGTTCTGGGCCAAATTTATCTGCATATCGGTTTTTAGGTGCCTGTCACGTGGGAATCTAAACACTGACCCATACCCACCTGAAGTGGTTTTTTCCATGGTAAAGAAAATGCAGATGCTCCATAGACAGCTAATGCATGTTTACCTGCTGCCCTGGGCAGGAGACATGTCACAGAGTTTAGTTAATGGAAAAACGATAAGGCTGGATTTAGTACAAATGCAGTGAACAGCTGCAGTGAATGTGAAGGCCAAGGACTGGTCGTGGTGGTCTCTAAGCAAAGAGCTGCTGGACCTGCTGAGAAGTAGATTTGCTTGGACAGAGACGATAGTAGTGTATCATAACAGTGAGTTGCGTGTGAAATTCCATTGGGGATTAGAGGGGTGGGCTAAGGGGACACACAGGTCTGATGCTGTACACCACGGTCAATAGGGAGTTGCCAGACCTTTGCCAAATAATGCAGACCACAGACAAAAGACATTCTGGCTGGACTGTTGTTGACGACTTAGATCCAGGAAGCAGATAACGTAGAAGGTAATTTCCTTGGCTGCTCCTCTCTCACAAATTGTCCTGCCAGTTTTTGGTCCCTCTCTGTGCCTTCTCATCCACAGGATGGTGCAGGAGGACCTAAGGTAGCATGTGGGGCTGAGGGAAGTTAGACACCACTGCTAGAAAGGTGAAAGCAAATCTGGCAGAGCCATTTTGCCTCTAAAATCATTGTGAATAGTGCCTTTCAACTGGGGTTTGTACGGTACAGACCGAAGGTCCTAAAGGAGATCTTACCTCGGAATCTGTGAGACAACCATACAAGAAAAGCAGTTGGGAAACTAATATTTGTATAGAGGGGAAAAGTGTTCAATCAATCAATCAAATGGAGCTTTAAAACAGCACAAGCTCACTAAAGGAAACCACTCCTGTCAGAGTTGGGAAATCCTGCAGATTGGCTAATAGCACCATTTCAATATCTATTTAGCAATGAGAAAATAGGGGTGTGTTAGCATTTGTTTAAGAAATGTTAAGATGTGCCAAAAGCTGTCCTGCGCATGCTGCCTACTCAGGGCAATGTGGCCAGATGGGAAAGAGGGCTTTTAGCCTAATAAAAAAGCTGTGCTAACCAGTGTTCCCTCTAATGTTTCCCATGCATGTGTGGAATGAATTTTGTTATGTGCACCAATATGGAGGTGATGTGTGACACATCATCTTTATATTGGTGCACATAACAAAATTCATGCAGCGGGGGGGGGGGGGGGGGGGGGGTTGGGCGGGGGGTGCAGACTGTGGGGTGGGGCTGGGGATGAGAGGCTCGGGGCTGGGGCAGAGGGTTGGTGGAGGGTTAGGACTCCGGCTGGATGGAGTGGGCTCTGGGTTGGGGCCGGGGATGAAGTGCTTGGGGTGCAGACTGCCCTGGGGCTACAGCGGGGAGAGAGGACTCCCCCCAGCACTCTCTCCCCACAGCAGCACCTGGCCTGGAGGGGAGAGGTGTCTATCCCCTCTGCGGCAGCTCCAGGGCTGGGGCCGCGGGATAGGCGCCTCTCCCGTGGCCACAGCAGGGCCGGGGCTAGGTTGGGGCCAGGGCGCCTCTCTGGCTGGGCTGGGGCTGGTGGGGAGAGGCGCCTTTCCCCGCCTCAGCCCTGAGTGCCTGTGCGGCACTTAATAGATTGCTGCACGGCTGCGCAGCTTAGAGGGAACTTAGGTGCTAACACCAGTGTGTGATAGCCTCGTACTGGAAAAGGAGGAAAGCAGCAACTCGGTTCAAAGCTCTCATTATCATAAACAATTGTGGAAATGTACTCCAGCTGAGTGAAATGTTCCTGGGTCCATGCTTAAAATTCATGTGACCTCTAGGAAAGGAATACAAAGGACTTCGAATTAATTCAGAGTCCTAAAGCAACAGCAGCAACCTATTTTTAACAGAGGGTAATTAACTATAGGAACAACTTATCACAAGTTGTGGTGGATTTCACTGGAAATTTTGAAATCAAGATTTAGATGTTTTTCTACAAGATGAGCTTTAATTCAAACAGAAATTAATTCAGGGACATCCTATGGCCGTGTTGTGCGGGAGATCACACCAGATGAACACATTGGTCCCTTCTGGACTTACAGCCACTGAATCTACAACCAATTAAAAAAGCCTGCTGCTTTACATGCATCTAAAGATTCTAGTAATATACACAATGGAACTATAAAGTGTAGCGGTATCTAAAAGGAGTGTATGGTGTTTCCATCACCTGAAATGCATCCCAGAGACTACTCTTTATAGGTTTATTGTGAAGGAAACTTGGGCTTTTAAGAATTTAATTATTTATTTACATTAAATATAGCTGGAATTGTTCAGATTTGACCCGAAACTGAGATTTCCAGTAAAGGCGTTGCTCAGTTGAAGCTTTGCTGCCTTTTATTTGCACCATTAGCCCTACCGGTGAGAAGAACAATATTGACAGTAACCCAAGGTAAATGCTGCTACCCCATCATTGATCAGTGTTCAAAGTGAGTTCTCAATCAGACTGCTTGAAGTTTGTTCCTAGGTACGAGTTCTGCTGTAGAGAAGATCTCGGATTTTGTTTGGAGAGACGTATTTACGCCTTATGCTAAGATATAGTTTTGCTGCACAGTAGGGTCCTCTCATGGCATAGTAGTCTAAGCGTCCTAGCATGCTAGCTTACTTGGTAAAATAAATATGCTTTTGTTATAAATATGCTATACTAGCGTAATAGTATAATCATGTGTGTGCAAGATGTGGCTTGAAAAGCATTTTTGTACTTGCTGTCTACATAGGAAACCCTTTAAGTTGTGGACAAGGTCTGATATTTTGACACTGCAAGAAATATTGGCCAGTTACCATTTGATTTCAGTGAATAAAAAGTTATTCTTTTTAGACATTTTAAATTTTGTTTAGATTATTTGAAAAATCAAATCTATACATCTCTTTGAAGGATCTTTATTTTAGTCATGCCAATTTCTTGTAATAAAAAACTTTTTTTTCCCATTGGGATAAAAAGTGGAAAAATAATGATGTTTGGCTGGTTATGAATCACTTCTGATACCTCTTTTCAGACTTTATTTTGGAGATAAACTCGCGAGATTTAATGTACAAATTACCTTCAGAGACATGCATGTCAATTGGAATTCACTTGAGTAATATTGGGGGAGGTGTTATGATGTCATATAGTACCATCTTACTGTGACATTTACAATTGCACATTGATTTTTATTAAATCTTCTCAAAATAGTGGGAGGTGTCTTCATTCCCCATTTCCTTTGGAAATCTGTCATCCAGATAACTTCAGGGGGATAAAAATAAGTTCTGTTTCCAGAATGTAGCCACAAGCGATGGCTTTAGCACTTTTAACAAGATGATCAATTTAAACACTAACAGGATTTCATATTTTTTAAACCAGTCATGCGGTGTGGTGGTCAATTTTAAATGGAGATCCGGCCATTCTGCTGTAATTGTTCTAACCAAAATGTCAAAAGCAAACCCAAATGTGGCATCACAAACTGTTGTTAGCAATACATTTGGAATGCCTGCACTCAGTCTTCCAGCTCACATTCTTGGCCGTTTTAGTCAGAATTTATAAGGCATCTTCTTTTTCAGTTTTAATTTTCTATTTGCCAGTCTTGAAAAGAACATGAGCGTTGTGCTCATTTTTTGTTTTACTTTGCATATGACTATGTAAGGACCTATGGACAGGGATTTTAATTGTAATTGAAAGATCTTCAGATTTCCAGGAATTATTGACTCTTTATTGAACTCTGAGACCTATCTTGTATGCTTTTGGCTAGCGTTTTCCTGACTCTACTTTGTATTTGTAACACACAGATCATCACCGTCACTCAGAGAAACCATGGAATCTGTGCTCCCTTTTCTTATTTTAAATTACTAGTGTCAGTTTGCTCTTTGAAGATACTGTTTATCACTGATGACATTTAAGATTATACAGTGTATACTGATAATTTGTGAAACTCCAAACCACAAAAACATACAAAATAGACACTGACTAAAGATTCTTACCTGTGTGCATCATGTACACTTCTTATGTTCTCCCAGCCTGCAGTTGCTGTCTGTTCACTAGGCATATCTAGCTGGCTGCTACAGGGGGACATGATGTTAGATTTCATTGGTACTGTGAAATTCAGTTCTGCAAACATTCCTAACTACGTGTTACACAAAGTAGCTACACCTGGAAATCTACAAGAAAAGTGAAGCTGGGATTTTCAAAGGAACTTGAGGGAATTGGGCACCTAACATCTATTGAATTTCAGAGTAATTTTAGGTACCTTGAAAATCCCACCTGAGTTGCCATATGTAAGCATGTTTGGACATCTGACATATGACACCGGTAAGAACTACCTGAAATATATTTAAATTTGAAAATGCATCACTGTTTCTCTAAGTTGACAATGGAACTCTTTTCCATTAATATCTGGCAAATTAGTGAGTGATGTACCAATAAAAATTGTGGCTACAGTCCGACAAAATGTACTTAGTCCTTTTATTTTCCCAAGTATACTTTAATTTTAATTATTTGTCCTGCTCTGCTAATACATGGGACATATTTTGTATATTAGTGAACTCTTAGTAAAATGCACTGCAGAATCCTGCTGTTTAAAAAAAACACAAAAAACAAAAAACACCAACCTTTGCTGGGAAGTAGAGTGAGTCCACCAGTTTTGTTGTGAGAATGATCTGGTTTGTGTATTGGTGAGGTTTGACTGAGTTAAAAACCTTCTATTAACTGCACAGAGCAAGGCTGAAAGCAGTGTCTTCAAAACCTGATGTAATTCGTGTGCTGCACCTCTGTCCTCAAATCACTAATAATCTGTCAATGTATGTATCTAAACTATAGAATTTCAGAGCAGAGTGTCTTGAGTTGATTTTTTTTTTTAAGTTCTGCTGGGAGCTTGCTGCGTGTGTCAGCAACAAGATGATATTTTTTGGATAGCTTTCACAGTGCATGATAATGAGAAAAAGACTAACAATGATCAAATAGCCCCTTATTAAAACCATAGCGAGAAGCATCAACTTCAGCCGGCGTTAATATGAAAAGCTTGCCGTTTTGATGCAGCTTGCGGCAAAATGGTTTTAAAAGATCCTCTAAACAGAGTAGATAATATCAACAATTATCCAATAGCGCTTCATTAGGAGGAGGTATTACTCTGCTGTGTGGTGTGGCATGTGAGAGTGACAAGAAGCACTTGAACAACGTTATGGAGTAATAAGCAGATGGGGCACCGTGTGGGCTGCATGCTGAGGTGACATGCCTCTTGCTTACTGAGCCTCTCTGCAGCTCATGGTTTTCCCTTTGAAGACAATTCTTATTAGTGCTATTGGTTCCCTAATATGTAAATGGTGAATTTCATTTGTTCCTGTTCCTGGAGACAGTTGTAACGGTGAACAGTCTTGGGCTTGTGCCTGTCATTGCCAGAACGTACTCTGGATCGTGGGCTTGTTGTTTTTGAATCGTGGTTTGAGAGAGAGAGAGAGAGAGCAAAAAGGTACTCAACTCACAATGTTTACTTTAAATAGGCATTATTTATTCATGTCATATTTTGTAAGTGCACAAACACACGTCTCTTCATGGCTGCTGTTCTGGGGCTCAGCATTTAAAGTTCATTTAGAACTCTCTGTTAAGGACTTGCAGCATAAGTGATTTCCTCCCACAAAGATGCAATTTCTTTTTTGAGACCTAATTATATTTTATATATATATATATATATATATATATATATAAAAACTCTCCAAACACCATGTGTGTATCTTAGCTCCTCAAAAACCCTCCATCGTGTTATCCTGGCTGCTTGAATCTTACCTTTTTTCATGGAGATAAATGGATGTTTGAATAAATTGAGATATGGGGCTCATGAACCAAAGAAACTAAAATGAAAAAAATAAGCTGATAAGGAAAAGACACAGTAGCCTGGTTACAAAAGCTTTTTAGAATCCTCTTCCCTAAACAATACGTGGCTTTGCTTTATTAAAAAAATCAAGTGGAATGTTCATATTTATAAGACTTTGAATTTTGGGTAGCAGCTTGTTGTCCAGAAAGCATCAATTTGCTCTTTACAACAGTCCACTAAAATTTTAGCAGGCACAGAGAGCAAATATGCTCTGTTCTGAACAGGATTGTAACTGAAGTAGATTGAAACTGTAACATGCATCAAAGGCGAAAGGGCTTTTACTTTTAAAAGATTATAATTTTTATTATAGGTTATCATATTCCACTTCATGCAATTGGCTTAGAGCAATAATTTTCCTGCAGCACTGAAGTCCCATTTCCTTGGTTTAAGAAACATTGATATTTATAGGTTTTTTGGTGTACATCTAGAATCGCTGCCCATCCACATTCACAGGGTCCCACATGTAAGACATTTTATGAAAAAATAATTACAGTGCTGGGGGAAAACATAGAAGCCTCTCCTGTGTAATGAGGTCCAGGAAAGTGTAATGAGTGTTCATTGATCATTTGAAGAAAGTGGTGGGAAGTGTTTGGTCTGTGAATCTGTATTCTGCTCGGCACGGGTGTTTTCTTTGGTTACAAGAATTATCACTCACCCCTTGGGGACACCAGGAAACAAATTTAGCTGCCTGAGACCTCTATGTGTGTGTCCCTGCAGCATGGTAAACCAGAGTTCCAGCCTTCTGCATAGGGGACAGGCAGAGGTCTGACTTCACTGTGCAAATACCAAATCTCTGTGACTCGACGTCCTTTGTGCGACTGCTGCTGCCTGACACAGCTTTTGTTTGCTTATGTCCACTGCATAGGGCTGATGAGGTAACGGCAGGTATGCTGTACATCTGGTAATAGGTGCTTGTCAGTGTACAAACTGATGTCTCAAAGAGCAACAGTATCTGTTTGTGTACACTGTCAGAGAGCAACAATATCAATCATCTGTTCGCTGTCACAGAGCAAAACTTGCTATTGCAAATCAGCAGTACTGGGAGCTACTAAACCCTTCACAGTTTAAAACTCGCTTCCATTTTTCTCTACAGATGGCAGCTCTTCAGAGTCCTTTCTATGGAGATAAAATGAATCTGTTTTCTCTTTGCCAAAAGATAGAACAATGTGACTACCCCCCTCTTCCAGCTGAACATTATTCTGAAAAGGTAAGTTGGGCATATGATGCTCAGATTGGAAAGTGGTGACCAGTGAAGGTAAAATAACTGACCCTGGGGTGGGGCAGAGTGTGCGTGAAGACGGGGAAGTGTTTTTTGGACATATCTGAAGTAGACCCTCCCCCCCACACACCTGAAAAGAATTGGGGACCTCTAGATAGGATTCCCTAGATTAGCATACAGCTGGCTAAAACACCTCTCACCATGGTATCCAAGCACCACCAAAGTAAATAGAGCCCAATGGGGGACAAAAGGAAGTTTCCAATAATGAGGAGCGGTCTGCTCTGGAGCACTCCTGCACTAGCAAAACACGACAACGAAACCTGGGGAAAACCTGACACCTCTCCCTACAATAACATACCATCAAACAGTGTTTAAATTTAGTCTATAAAGTCCTCAGTTTGTTTAAATGTATAACAAGGGGAAAATGATACTAAAAGGAGGAAGGGAAGTGATTAGCCTAGTACAATAAGCATCCAAGCAGGAGCCATATGGGGGCTTTTTAACGTCTGGTTAATTTTATTGCTATGAAAGCAAGAGACGGGAAGCAGTGGCTGGACCGAGCTATATCACAAGTTGCTGCTGTGCATGCCCACCCTTTTGCCATTGTGCTTAAATCCAATTGCAACCACCCCGTTCTTTTGCAGTGGACCTTTTATGACAGTTGTGTGGCACTTTTTGCGATGTGGCCAAATGTCAGCTAGACTGAAGCCCACCAAATCCATTTCTTGTGGACCTAAATCAGACGGGAAACCAAGTCTCCTGATAAGTGTGTTAATCGCCCTGAAACAACCAGTTCTTTTCCTCCATTTCTTCTTTCAGAAATAGCTGCCTAGTATTTGAAAGGAAGTTGTTAAGGTAATTGAGAGTGTCCAACCAGTTTTTCAGTAGAAGCAGAGCTCTGTGCAGTGAGATACCGGGTACAGGGGAAATAAAACCCAGGGCAGCTAGCAGACAGTCCACGTGTGTTCCAAGGTTCTTCCCCAGAAGGGGACTGTGATGATGCTCAAAACATCTTTGCTATCGGGTTGCACAATGGCGGCTCGTGTGCCTGGTAGACATGGGAAGCAACAAACTAAATAGATGCAGCTAATATAGAGAACTCAGCCTGTGTGTGTCTTTCCAGGGATTAGAGAAATATCCCCACTCAGTTTTACATACTCTTGAACTAGTTAGAGGTAACAGGATGCTGGAGGAAAGACGGAGTTGGAATGTTCATAAAACAAAGGGGGTTGGAAATCAGTTTTGCATATTCAAAAAATGGGGCATCCATACAGTGACTAGCTCTAGTCCTCACCTCCCGTTTGTGTTTGTGGTATACGCCAATCTCCCTGTAAACGCTGTAGAAAGCGGACACAACAAAATAAATGAAACAGGGTTGAGAGCACTTTAATTGGCAACCAGTTCACTTGCACATCCTCTTAAGCTGCTGACATTTGGCTCCCAGGGAAAGGTACCATGCCAGATCTGTGCACAAAGCATTGGGAAATAGTACTAGACAAAACTGAGCAGCTGGGCTCTGGCTCCGGCTCCATTGCACACAGCAGCTTTTGTGAAATGAAGTGTGCACTTCTGGAAAAATCCAGTGTGTGCTGGTTGCAGGGTTATTTCTCCTCTGGATGGATGCAGCTCACTCCCTGTAATGTTAATGGGAGTCACAGGCCTGGAGGGGACAGACCCCTAAACCTGCCAAGCCAGTAGATTTTTTTTCCCCTTAATAAAGACTTGGATTGGCTGCAGTGAGGCGCTGTTAGTGAAAGAGGCACATGTGGGAGGTGTCAGTCACCGAGGGGAGACTAAACTCTTAGGGACGTCCGATAATTTCACGTTACTCACCAGAATTTGAGCTTTTGTGTTTAAAGCGTGCCATTTCTCACAGGACAGCATCTCTCCAGCTGGACTAGCATGGTGCTGTCTCCTTGAGCCTGCTGGCAGAGGCTCTGTCTGTGCTAGAGAGCTGAACCATTCCTAACTCGACCGGTGGGATAGAACCAGCTCTGACTCAAATGGTACACACCAGCCACTTCCATTTCAGTACCCTCTGGATACCTAACTCAAAGTGCCTTACAGAAGCAGTGGATTCTGGGAGGTTTCAAAAGGCACCACTGTAGTAGGGTGACCAGATGTCCCGATTTTATAGGGACAGTCCTGATTTTTTGGGGCTTTGTCTTATCTAGGCGCCTATTACCCCCCGCCCCCTGTCCTGATTTTTCACACTTGCTGTCTGGTCACCCTACACTGTAGTCAAAGCAAATGTGCAGTAAGATAAGAATGTACATGTGCAATCAGTTCCCCGACCTCTTCAGGTGAAGGATAACACACACACGCTGCAAGAAGTGAGGTTTATGCCCAAATAAATCTGTTAGTCTTTAAGGTGCCACCAGACTCCTTGTTGTTTTTGTAGATACAGACTAACACGGCTACCCCCTGATGCTTTCTTTCAGAGCATCTGTTCTAAGCATTAACCTCCTACCCTGAGTTGTGAGTCAGCAAGTCTGTCACAAACAACTGGTTTATTTCTCAGTTGTCCTGCTGTGTGGGCAAGAGATCTAGCCATAATGTCCTGACCATAACAGACTCTAAATGCTGGCCGTCTGGTGTGCACATACCTGGTAGGGTCTCGGCTATTCGGGGCACTGTGTTCCTGAAGAGACACCAGAGCTTCTGGTTTTCACAGTTTGCATTCTTGCTAAGCAACCAACTTAAAAAAAAAAAAAAGTAAACTGTTCTAGAAAGTGCTGTTTTTCCAGACAGCCTTCATAAAGAGTCATTTCCATTTGCTGTGCTATTGTAGCATGCACTTCATGATATGCCTGCTGGCAGTAGGAATTAGTGTAAGTTGACAGATGTGTTTCCTGTCTTTACAATTACTGTCTGTTTGCTTCCCTCTGGCACTGCTAAAGAGTGTGTGTAGTATAGTGATACAATCCAGGGTGAGAAGGATGGTTTAAAGCTCAAACGCACTAGATCCCAGAGAACTAGACTACAGATGGTGTTCATACACTTAACTAAATGCTTGACGAAGTCTGAGAGGGCTAGGCCTTTGGCTCTGGCTTATTTCACCGTATTAGTTGCTGCTGTTACATGAAGCCACAAAGCTTAATTTTTTTATGCTGGAACATGACTGTAGTCTGAGCCGCGTTTGCTTTAGTTCTTACGGTATGAAATACCCAAATGGTGACGCTGTCAGAGTGAATGGCCAGGGGTGGGAGCACATGGACTTCCTAAACCAACCAAGCACAAAGTGAAGATGGTTCAGGGAGCAGGCCACCGCAATAGTCTATGGGAGAAATCTGCAGTATAAGAGGCCTCATCCAGAGCTTGTTCTAGCAGTAATCATGGCGTCAGAGGACAAAATGGGTGACTTCGTTATTTTGTATTTGAATACCTGCACTCTCCTTCCAGAGTGAATGGCTGTTCTGCTCGCTCAGATTCAGCCTCAGAGAGTAATTTCTCGAGCCCGCTCTAATATTGTCACTGCCTGTTGGCCTGTGAGCAATGTGAAAAAGCAGCCTGCGTATCCTCACACGCTGAGGGTAAGAGCTGAGATGAGGCTGACTGGTCTCTCTTTTGCCCATGCCACGAGGCTGAATGTTTCTCAGTCATCCTCGGGAGCTAATGGCAAATCTCCCTCTTGAAGCTAAGGTTGAGCTCTGCTAATGTGTTACACTGCAGGCTCATTCCTAATCCCATGAATCTCTCACTTACAGCATGCTCTCAGCTCCAGATAAAATGAATAGGCTTGAGTAGTTAGAGAAAAGTGGCCTGCTTTAATAAAGCTCCTTAAAATGAATTGTAGCTTTTTAAAGCTAAGCCATCCAAATATTTTCTCTTGTCGTGATAGACTCCCTCCCTAAAACAGAAAACTAGAAATGGCCATAGTTCTCTGAACATCCACTCAATGTGCAACGGCAGTCAAAGCGAACAGAATGCTGGGAATAATTAAGAAAGGGATAGATAATAGGACAGAAAATATCATGTTGCCTCTATATAAATCCATGGCTTGCCCACATCTTGAATACCGTGTGCAGATGTGGTCGCCCCATCTCAAAAAAGATATATTGGAATTGGAAAAGGTCAACAAAAATGACTAGGGGTCTGGAACAGCTTCCATATGAGGAGAGATTAATAAGACTGGGATTTTTCAGCTTGGAAAAGAGACGGCTAATGGGAGATATGATTGAGGTCTATAAAACCATGACTGGTGTAGAGAAAGTAGAGAAGGAAGTGTTGTTTACTACTACTCATAACATAAGAACTAGGGGTCACCAAATGAAATTAATAGGCAGCAGGTTTAAAACAAATAAAAGGAAGTATTTCTTCACACAACGCACAGTCAACCTGTGGGAACTCCTTGCCAGAGGATGTTGTGAAGGTCAAGACCATAACAGGGTTCAAAAAAGAACTAGATAAATTCATGGAGATAGGTCCATCAATGGCTATTAGCCAGGATGGGCAGGAATGGTGTCCCTAGCCTCTGTTTGCCAGAAGCTGGGAATGAGCGACAGGGGATGGATCACTTGATGATTACCTGTTCTGTTCATTCCCTTTGGGGCACCTGGCACTGGCCACTGTCGGAAGACAGGATACTGGGCTAGATGGACTTTTGATCTGACCCAGTAGGGCCATTCTTATGTTCCAACTCCCCAGTCTGTTTGCTGAAGAGAATTTGATCAAGTCATTTCAAACACTTATTTGTAGTGATTATCGAGGCTTCATCTATGACCCACGTGTAGATAAGAATGGAAGTTGTATATAGCTCTTGGCATGCTAGAATGGTTGTTGGAGAAAATCTTTGCCTCTCCATCATTCTGAATTCGAGCAGCATAATTTACCCTACCAAAAGGCAGCAGATTGATTTCACATAACTTTACATTGACTGCTTAGAATGTATTAAAATAATAGAGGTTGGCGTCATCTGAGATTAGTAAGATACCATCCATTTTATAATTCAAGGTACAGGCACATGCTAAGACTTTGATGAGCTGTTATCAGATATAAACAGCATACAAGTTTTTATCCCCAAAAGAGAGAGTCAAAGGGTCCATAAAGTTCACTATAGACTTTACTCATTTTAGTGAGAAGTGATCAGATACTGTGAGTTTATACTGTGGCCACAGGAGAGATGACAAAGCATAACATCCTCCTCTTTCCCTCCACCCCCCAATCATAGGTAGTAAGGCTACATCAGTACCTGTAGTTTAAGCAGTCTGTTTTGGCACTTTTCCCTTGTGGTGTGTCTCCCTTATATAAACATGATCATTGTTCACCCTGTACTACTGTGCTGCCATTCCTTGTGTTGTAATCTGCTTCAGGCCCAGAAAGAATTGTCATTTTACAGGACTTAGCGCCATTCAGAAGTGAAAACCTCAATTGGGTAAATCCAGTAATGCAGCTGAAGCTGTGTGCTTGATGGCTGTACGGTCATGCTTTTAATTACCATTAAAATAATTGGCACTGTGGCTACTGGGAGGATGTGAGAAGATCAGAGGCTCAAGGCTTTCTCCCCCCATGCCTCGGGGATACGAGCAGCTTTCAGTATCTGTATAATTAAAAGCTACAATTTTTCATGTGTACAATAAAGAGGCTGGGGAGGTAGGGAGACTCTGGTCCTTCTGCATTTTATTACTTATAATCAGTGACCCATCTCTTTTCTCCATTAAGGTCCTGGAGTCAAGAGTGTCATTGTCACGCTGCTGTATCTCGCACAGCTAGTGCTCTATCTTATGTCTAAGGATCTCAAAGTGCTTTTCAAAACTTAATTCAGTCTTGAACTGGCTAACTGCCACTGATTTGCTGCTAGGATGGAATGCAGGATCATTATATAGATGTGTGTCCTGAATAGAACTTCCTTGAATTGAACACCACAGTTCACTTCCATTTCTCCATCTTCACCAACAAAGTTGTATCATGTCATCTCTGTCAAACTTGCAATTTGGGGCTCATTTTCTGTTCTTTCCTATACTTTTCCCTTGCATCCAAATCCTGATCATGTCATTCTGTGCCCCCCCCCTTATCTTTTCATATCCAGTTTGAGTTCCTTGTCCTCACTGTTAAAGCTCAGTTCTACTCTGCTACTTCATCCCTACTGATGTTTCACCTACTCTGCCTGCCTTATTGAACCCTTCATCACCACCTCCTTCCCATTCATGATTCAGTGTCTCACCACCTGTACACAGAGCAAACACTCACTCCTCCTTCAGGCACCTGCTCACTGTAGCCATCTTAGAATGTGTCTAAGAAGCCATTACTGAATGCACCAACTTGGTACAGAATATTAGACTTCGGTGCTATAAAGTTAATTGTCTAGTTAGTGACAAGTCATTTTACAGATAGGGAAACTGGACACACACACTTCCTGATTTGCCATGAACATAGCAGGTGGAAAAGAATTCGGGAGTTGACACTCCAGTCCACGGTTCTTTGCATTCAAATAGTCTCCCTTCCCCTTTCCAAAAAGAAACAGGATGTTACATTATATTTTCATGTGATTTTTTCCTTCCTTTTCAGCTACGGGAACTTGTCAGCATGTGCATATACCCTGATCCAGATCAGCGACCTGACATTGGTTATGTGCACCAAATAGCAAAACAGATGCATGTTTGGACCTCCAGCACTTGAATCATCTGCAAACACTCTCTAAGAAAAGCCATCACAGCTTAGTCTTACTTGAATTTTTATTTCTCAGATGAAACCGACCGGTGCCTAGTCAAACTCAAGTGAGAGAGTTGAGCACTCGTAGCAAGATGCTCCATTATTTCTGCAGGTTATTTGACAAGGACTCTTACCAGGTGGTCATGCTTTAAAGTGAAGATTCTATGAGGTATTGCAAGCATATTTTTTTTAAAAAAAGCCAATAACATGTTACAGATGTAGATCATTTAAGGGTCCTTTCTTAAAACTGTTGTGTGTAATCTAGAATAGATTATATTAACAGGGGTGTCTCATTGAGCCTTTGACACACCCCTTTATCTTAACTGTAATGTGAAATATTGAAATAATTCCTTCAGTGAAATCACTTTATACTAATGTAAGAATTGCAGTAGATTTTGTGTAATTTGTATAACTGCTACTTTGCCTCTTCTGCACATGGTTAATAGCAACTTCAGTCTTTAGTTCATATATTTTTAAAGCATTCAGCTATGTGTTTTATCCCCTCCTTTGCAAAAATAGGAAGGGGGGACACTTGTTTGAAGATTTTTTTTATCTGAAAATTTAGAGTGACTATTTTGCTGATGCATTTATCTGTTAACTTGGTTATAGACAATGAGGTGAGTCTAGCATATACCTGAAAAGCATTGCTTCTACAAGCAGTGTATCTTTATAAATGTATTTTCCCCTTTGGCATTAATCTTGTTAGGCTAAAAGTCTATTATAAAACCAGTGTTACTCTAAGCCAATTCTATTTTGGGGAAGATACTTTATCAAATCCAATGGTACTTTAGCCATTCATAAATAAAATGTAAGGAAAGCAGTGGTTTAAAAACTTTTTCAAACATAGTAACGATGTTATTTACATTTAGCATGAAATAAGACCAATGCTTTGTGTAATTTTAAATAAGGTTCAGCCCATACCTATTTAACTGTGAAAGCTAATTTATAAAATGTGAATTTTTATAAGAAACTCAAGCTGATTTGAAGGAGACCTCTTGTTTAAAAGACTAATTTTTTTTAAAGACCTAAAATTTTTCAGTCAACTAAATTCATTCATTGAATCAATGATTTGTTTCATTAGTGACAATGAAAAGTATTCACTGCTTTAGAAACCAAACTTGCGGATTCACGTTCAAGTGTTTCCATTTCACCTAACTGTTCAGGGGAACTGCTGCACTTAACAGTCTCAAAGGACAACACCAGGGGAACTAAACTTGTACTGTTATAGTGTTTCTTCTGTGTGAGGTAGAGTCCATTGCTATAATGTATGTTTGTGGGTGGCAGTTGTTCGTGTTTAAATACAGCCTGTGACACCTTACTCTTTAAAAAAAATTTTTTAAAAAGGCCTTAGTCTCTTGGAAATAAAATTAGGGTAAGAGGGTTAAATACATGTATATGCTTTGAATGGATTTTTTAAACCTAATTTTCACTACTTAAAGGAAAACTGTAGTGCCCAGTTAAACTAGTCAAAATATTCAGCTAAGGTGTTAAACCTCAAGATATTCATTGCTGTGAATGATGCTGGTATCACTTTGATGTAAGATGGCATCTTGCATCTACTTCCTGTTAGGAAGTCCAGGATATTCAACTCAGCATGAGAATGTAGGAGAGAGGCCAGAATGCTTCCTCCATTCCCAATGCTAACATGTTCAGAAATGATCAAGAAGCCAGATTTATTATATTTAAATATAATAAAGATTGTCACCTTTGTACTGCAGGTTTCCTTTAAACTATAGTGGCAACTACACATTCATAGACATGGTTGTGCAATGCCTCTGTTGGTGTATTGTAGAATAAAAGTTCTTTGGCTGTCAAGAAGGCTCAAATTACTTGAGTGTTTTGATAAGTCTGGTCACTTCCTTGCTACATAAGATCTATTAGTGCTTATAAGTAAATGTATTTTAAAAGGTAAATTTTTGCAACTGTGCATTTTTAGATAAATAAAACCATGATTTACAAAATAAACAACTTCCTTTGTAAAAAACTATCCTATATTTGAGTTCAGTGTTAAGGAATACAGTGTTTTGGTGCAAAATGACTAAGTCTAAAATTGTTCTTGTAAAGTGTTTATATCCCCCAATATCTGTTTGATGCACAGTGTGAAACTGTCAACTTGTAAGGAAATGGACTAAATCTCAGTGTTACATCAGTTCTGCTGACAAATTCTGCCTTCTAAAAACAATGTCTAACCACTGTGCTGTTGTACAGGTTAGAGGCTATCCTGTCTTTTTGGGGGAAATACAATGTATAGCTGCTGTTTTCTGTGTTGAGAGAGAGAGAGAAGCCACTGAACTTAGGACTAGCAGAAAAACCTGCTACCACTATCTTGACTACCCAAAGTACAGGTAGCAGCTGATTAATGACAATGGTGACATCCACTCACAAGGGAATGGCCCAGCTAGCTGAACTTGTACTTCAGACCTCTGCTCTGTGACTCACTCATAGCTTACAACGTGACTGATTACCGTTCAGAGAAAGATCACAATGAGATGGTAAGGGGTTTTTGTTGGGCTGATTTACCATTCCTTACCTACAGAACCAATCAACAGAAAACCAGAAAAACTCAACAACTTGGTCAGAACCCATTTATTTACTATAAATTGAGGTTTTTCATGCAGGAAGGCTTCTAGTATAAACCAGACATGGCTAACATGTAGTGTCACTAGAGTTCAGTCTAATACTTCAGGAAGTGTCCATTGTTTGTACTGTTTCATCCACCACTTCAAGGTCCAGGAGAGCCACATTTTCTGTGAGAACAGCTGTAGTTCCTTTTTCACACCTGTACTTACCATACCTGTTGAAAAGATAATCAATGAAAGTTACAGAGCAGCTCCCCAACATAAGAGAATTTCCCTAGGGTTGAATCTAAACAATGGCTTTAAAGACAGCTTCTTTGATATTCACTTTAAGGAACAGATGAATGGTAAGTGACAGGAATTCTCTCCTGGACTTATAGGAACAAGCTCAGTTCCTATCCCATGCAGGTTTATCATGGAAAGTCTAACAGATGAGCTGTGCAGCTCAGACTATGCAAGTAGAACTACTATGAATAAGTCTGGCGGATTGGCACTGTGCCTTTCCCGAGTGTTCGCTTTAAAGAAAGGTGAATTTTTATTTCCATTCCACTATTTCGGCAATAGCATGTAAGATTACACCTTGTGTAAATATACATATTGCAAAATCTTTCAACTGCCTGCAGGGGCTGTGACTCACTGATTAGGCAATGCAGTGTGCTGGGGTGACTGCATGGTTAGCAGTTAAACTTTCAGCTTGTCTCTTACCCAACTAACTGCAAACACGGTTGCTTACTTTGGAATTTCACCACCTCTGTGCCTTGAGTATTCCTAAAAGGTTCTGTCACTTCTCTGAGGCCAATTATGAAAACTGCACTGCAGAATCATACTTAGATAAGGTACAGTGGCTGTACCTAACTAATTTTTTGGAAGTTTAAGTTCAGAGAATTCAAAATCCATCAGCTTTGGTTTTGAAGGAAGAAAGAGCAACAGCATAAAATGGTTTGTCACAGTTGTAGTTTCACACACAATGTGGTGAAAGGAGGGCTATGGGGGGGATCTCTCTTTTGCTGTGGCCTGTCAAACTAGGGAGCTGGAGAACATAAATAGCACACAGCTCTAGGTGGTGAAAAGGTCAAGAGAGGGATGTTCCAGGGGAAAGGAGCATTGCTGACAACCAGCAACATTGGTTCCCCTAAATTCCTTATCTTTTTCCCTTTAGACTGAAGATTTCTGGTTGGGCCAAAGTTAACCATAGACAATTGACAGTCCCTCCCGCAATGATTTACAAAAAAATCTCTACAAACTTCTGTTTTAAAGGAAATGCTAGTGATCTAGAGAGTGCGTTTAAAATCAACAACCCCATGCACAGTCTGTTCTCCAAACGGGTGAAGCCCTTCCTCTCTCTGAAGGCAGGAGCTAATGGTGGTAGACACTGAAAAAGCAATATCAAAATATACTGGGAAGGGTCTGACTGAAATGTCTGGAATGTTAGGGAAAGAGTGGACAATATGCAGCTTCAGAAATACTAACCTTTCGCCTTTTTTGTTGACCACATCATAAGGACGGAGAAAATCCAACTTGTTTTTGCTTATAACACAGAGATCTATGTTACTGCCGGAGCCCAGATCATTGAATATGCCAGCTGAGATGGCATCTCTCACAAGCTGTTTGGCTTCCTCTTCCTGGGGGGAAAAATAAAATAAAGCTTGTCTAGTTTACTACCTCCTGTAAATGTGGAAATTGTGCAGCACAGTGTAGTTAAAAGTTCTTAAATTGTCATTTCATTTAAATAAAAGGGAAAACTAATAATCTAATGTACAGAAGGAGGGAAATTATGATCAAATTAAGGGGCTACTTTCTAGAGGTTACTGAAGTGTGATTCAACAGGATCACTTGCCCTATTAACTGAGACAATACTATCAGATGGAGATGTATATTTCTGTACATGCCCTCAGTTGTCTTAGAAGGATAAAGGTAGAAACACAGGCATCCTCTTTATAATACAGTATTGTGAATCTGAACAATGGTCAGCACTACCCAAAGGGCCAGCTTTCCTATCATGAGCGCCATCATCAGTACACGTCAAACCAATTATAAAGAAGATGTCAGCGTGAACAAATTTTAGAAACGAAAAACCTTAAACTATGAAGGGGAGAAATTGATGTTCATAACCATTTAGTAGCTTCCAGACCTTAAATACATACATGTACAGCAATCTACAATGCAAGTTTCCCTATAATGCCCAGTGTAAAACACTCGCATACAAATTGCATGCTAGTTTAGTTAAAGACTGCCTTGAGTAGAGACTATTTAATCATCCTCTATAGTAAGAAAATGTTTTGTAACATAGCCAACTTGGAATGCAAAATTTATTCTGCTCATCTGAATAGCTGCATTACAGGGGAGCTTTGATCTGCACTGCATCATAGCTAGCTAATGTTTTCAGATGCCAGTGTAGTGCACAGGAGAAGAGTATTAAAAGAAACATTGAGAAACACAATTTGAGAATATAAAATTTATAGCAGGAATGGGAGTACTGCCACTTTTATATAAATCCAAGTAAAGTGTGTGTTTGTAAATTTTAAAATTTACTATTTGTAAATACTGATTGTTACAATGTTTCAATTTAAATAGACTATAACTACTAATATGAAATGAATGTGTAATACATTTATACTTTTGTCAATAGTACAGACACTACCGTGCGGTTTCATTAACTAGTTCAGAGTTAATGAAGCAGCAAAACTCTACTCAGCTCTAGACTTGGATATTCTAGGAAAGGAAAGATATGCTGCTTGTTTCAAGTTGGGGAAAACCTCTATTTAAAGAAAATTCCTATTATGGCTAAAATTATGCACTACTTTTTTAGTCCTGCATAAGTTTACAAATGTGTATTTGAGATACAAACATACTCCTTTGCATAGGATTTCTAATGCTCAAAGAGTTTGTTACTCTTTAAAGCATGCATATGTTCTTGAAATACACACCATACAGACACCTGGCTTATACAGTTTCTCAGAGGAAATTTGAATTGTTCTGTATTTAATGGAAATTACCTTTCAGAGAGACTGCAATAAGTTCCATGCATCAGCCCAGTGCTTGCTCAGCGTTCTAAGCAACAACCCCCCGCCCCAGAGAGCACATTACAATAAAATCTATTTAATTGTATACACAACTACAACACAACCCTTCATTGAATAACTCTGGTATAACTGGCCTCAAACTCTGCATTCTGTACAGCAAGTTACAGCCTGAAAAGCTTCGCATAATTGTAGCTTCTCTGTAGCAGAAAGGGAAAGCCTATTAGAGCTACATTAGCTCCCTCTACAGACTCAGCAAGGGAAAGAATTAGGTTTCATTTCAAATGTAACTCCTAACTGACAATCCCTGAGGAGATTCAGGGATGTTGCAAACAATTTTGGAAGCCATTAGGTATTGTGAGACAAAGGAGAAGCCGCAACTTCACATTGTAACTGAACATACTGCATTAAAATTGTATTGAGGTGACAAAGGTTATATTACTGGTAGAGTGGTTCATCAGCATGTTTCACATATATCCAGCAGGATCTGGAAAAGGCTCACAGTTGGAAAAAATGCAATCCCTAGCTGAAACTTAACAGATGTCTCATGGCTCACCTTCTCTACCATTCATGATCACAAAACATCCCTGTAGCAACTACTTTAAAAGATAATAGTAGGAACATTATATATAATGTTTCCTTATTCCGACCTGTTAGATCACATTTAACAAGCCAGCTCTCTTCAAATCACAACTTAGGACCCACTGTTCCCTCATGCTTCAGGGGGGAAAAAAAAGTAG